GGCGACACTTTAACCCAGATCATGGAAGCCATTAAGATCTGCCAGGCCTCACCAATCATATTGAGACTCTCAGAGTAGACTTTTTTCTCCTGAAAGAAGATGTTCAAAAATTGCACCATAGGGTCTCTAATGCCAAACAATGGCTTAGTACAGTAGAAGATATCTACCCTCTTTCTGCCTCCTTTTAGAAAATTTCAGGCTGAACAAAGAGTTCCTGCAGCTGAACTGGGGGATCTAGACAGCCTTAGAAGGAATAATCTCCGTTTCTGGGATTCCCTGAGTCTGGGATTTACTCTGGGATTACCCAGAGGAATTTCTTACAGAATGGATGAAAAACACTTTTCCCCTTCTTCCCCGGAGGTCCGGCCAGACCACTCCTTGCACATATCCTTATGTTTGAGATCGCATTGCAGTACTTTGTATGGCCCGTGAGCTACCTGATCTAGTTTATAACAATGTCATCACTATCTTCCTTGATTTCTCTGCTGCAACGCAGAAACAACGTGCTGCCTTTCAGAGTTTGAAGAAATGGCTACAGGATCATCATTTCCGTTACAGCATGCTCGACCCAGCTAGGCTGCTTGTGGTCCATAATGGCAAGGCCCAATTTTTCACTGCCCCAGCAGAACGGATCGCTAGGTGGAATCCCTGGACAAATCCTAAATAATTTACAGTTGCTATGCCATAGCTTTTTCTCCTGTTTTGAACTTCCATCTGGTGCCCAGCAGCTCTCCTCATCCCTCTGGTTTTTCAGTCTTCTTTCCTGTCCCATTATTTCTTCCCCTATCTTGATGAGGTGGTTGCTGGGTTGGAGGAGCTTTCAAGATTCTACACCACATGGCTGCCTCTTTCCTTTGGTTCAGAGGACAACGAAGGAGCATCATCTCAAGACCTTTTGTGGCTTTTTTTTCCCCACGTTTCTCGTTTGGCTGGATGGGGTTAAACTGCACCCCCAACTTTTGTAATCTTGGTTCAGGGTACCAATTCAAACTCATTTGGGGATTGTGAGCTGGGTGGAGGGTATTTGTTGGTTCTGTTTTCTATATATCACATCGTTTTTTATGGGAGTTAGTAATTTGTTGTTTTCTTTTTCCCTTTCTTGGTTGCTGGTGTTTAAGTTAATTGTTATGTTAATTGATGGTACCTGTACAGTGCACAATCTATTGACAATGATGTTTGTTCTTTTATATGCTTTTTGGCTTCTTCCCCCTATTTATAGCCATAACTTTTTTTAGTTTTTGGGGGTTTTTTTTCCCTTTTTTGGGGATTTATCTTTTTTTATTTTGAAAGATGGCTACGCAGAGTTTTAATCGTGGTCTCTTGGAATGTCCAAAACATTGGTGTTTCAATATATACAGAAGCATAAACCTCACCTCATATTCCTACAGGAAACGCATCTTATTGGTTCTAAAGTGATGGCTTTGAAATGTGCATTTGTGGCCCACACGCTCCACTCCACATACTCTAACTATTCTAGAGGGTATACGATGTTAATCTCCAAATTGTTGGGTTGTTCCATTACCATTGTGGTTACGGACCCATTTGGCAAATCTGTGTTAGCAGTCTTGCAGACTAATAACTCGGCTTACACTTTTCTGCTTTATATTCCTCCTCCTTTTACTTTTAGGACCAAGTATTGGCCCGTGTGCTTTCAGTGGCAGAAGGCCCCATACTTTTGGATTTAGATTTTAATATAGTACTCTCCAATGTCCGAGACCACAGGTGTCAAATACAAGGCCAGTGGGCCGAATCTGGCCCTCCAGGCCATTTCATGTGGCCCAAGCACCTCTCCTGTAGGTACCCCCTTGTCTCTGCCCCCACCCTGTCTCAGCAGTCGGAAGCATAGAGGATAATAGAACTCCTCTGCCAAATCCTGCACCTCTCAGTGCAGCTGCAGCACCCCCTCCTCTCTTACTCGTATCCTGTCGTTTGTGCTCTGATTTGTATTCGGTATCTTATTCACCAGCTAAATTGTTTATTGTTCTATTATAATAGTGATGGGACTGTATTTGATTTTCGTTGCTTTTGTAGTTCGCTATTGGATATTTGTCTCTAACCTGTATTTTTGCACCCATCATTGGGTACCTTGTTTACCACTGTTTGTTCTTGGTTTAATTGTAAAATAATAAAATTACCTTTTTTTTTTTTCTTTTAAAATAAGGATAATAAAGAAAAAATCCTCTTGCGCTGCCAGACCTAATATGATAAACTAAGTGGCTGCAAACACCAAATTGTGTTCCCACAACACTAAAAAATAAATGAATAAATACATAGCGCTGCACTATTCAATAAACCTAACCATAAAGTAAACACCTGTCAGAGCCCCTAACTAAGGTAATATAGGTGCATACCTTCAAAATAGCCAAGTACAAGTGAATGAAAATATCCAAAAAGAATAGACAATGCCAAATATGAACAAACCAATAAGTGCAACTTCAACATATGTACAAATAGATAGATCTATCTATCTATATATCTATCTATCTCTAGCAAAGCACACAAAATAAAAAGTTAATAAATAATGGTAAATAAAATAAACACCTGGCTGAGCCCTCAACCCAGTGAATAAATGTAGTAAAAATCAAAATCAAAAACATCTTCAATTCAGTATGTATTCCACACATGACTTGAGAAGTGATCACCTTTAAAAATCCTCCACCAGCTAGTGTGCACACACTCTCGCCTCCCATTTTGACCTATGGGTAATATAGATCAAATGCACTTTAATATCAACCCAAAATCCAACCAGCTCTCCTCTGTAAGCATACTTTACTGGCTCCTTCTCTAATTCCTCATCAGAAATCCATGTTCAAAAAAACATCAAAGGACATCTCCTAGTGAAATGCATCCATGTTTAATGTATAAAAACCAGGTATAGAATACTCAACTTTTAAAATCAGACCAGCAGACCCATACAAGCATTGGTAATAAAATACATAGGAACAGGTGTACCAAGGTGGCAGCCGCAGTCTGACCGGAAATATCACCACACTTCCTTTGGAAGGAAGGAATGGATGTTTGGGATACAAAAAAAAACCCCACAGGTAACAGCAAGAGAAATACAGGCTGCTCTGGAAAAAGACTGTGGTTGTTTCAAGGAGCACAATGCGATGATACTTGAACAAAAATGAGCTGCATGGTTGAATTGCCAGAAACCTTTACTGCGCCAATGCCACAATAAAGTCTGGTGAGGCATATCAAGGTGTTGTCAGGTATGTTGTAACCGGATTTTTTTGTGTTGTCCTGAACATTTCTTCTGGCAGTTGTGGCTGCAATCGTTCTTGGTCTACCTGACCTTGGCTTGGTATCAAGAGATCCCCGAATTTTCCACTTTTTAGTAAGTAATTGAACAGTACTGACATTACCTTTTTACGCAGGTTTTTGACCGTTCTTTTCTGCTCCCCATGGCTCAGTATCTAGTCTTCTCAATGCATCTGCATGAGAGCTAACAAACTCATTGACTATTTATACACAGGCACTAATTGCAATTTAAAGAACCACAGTTGTGGAAAATTAACTTTTCATTGCCATTTTAACCCTTGTGTGTCTGTACCAAGGCCAAACAGGCCTTGTTTATTGGTGCTATTTACAGTCTATTTAAAGATGCTGTGCAGTGTTCCACAAAATAAACAAGGCAAAAACAACCAATCAAACTCCTAGCCGTGTCTTGACACTCACTACATAAATACTAATTTTGAAGCTGAGCAAACGTAATGCTTGTTTGTCTCCACTAATGCAGTTTTGCACCTTGCAGCTCTCTCAGACAGGCCTGGTCTGTTCCCCAGGAGTAACTGCAGGTTCCAAGTGAGTCTAAATGGCCCCAGGGGTGTATATGAGAGGAGCCTGGGAGATGTGCAAACCTCGAGCAGGACTTTTCTTGGATCCCTCTGAGACGCTCTGCTAATATTAATATATATATATATATATATCTGTCTTAAATACCTGGCTTACAGATAAGGAATTCTGGCTTGTCTCTGATGTTTGTTCTTGTTGTGGGTGAGTCTTTCAATTTACTGAAGTCAGCAGGTCATTGATTCAAATTACTGAAGCCAGTGGTTAACATCTAGAAAGTTAATGACTGAAATTCTTCATTGCCTTCTTCTCTATAAAGCCAAACTGAATCTTCAATTTAAAAAAGCTGCAATAGCCAAAGTAGAAAAGCCTGTCCCCTGGCAGCATGCCTCAGAGTGGGACCCTTGCTCTCTGTTGGGAACCAGTGGTCTCTTTGCAGAGATCCAGTGCCCCCTGCTGAGTCAGAGCTCTGCAATCAGCAGGATCATTCCCCTATACTGTTTGGACAGCTCTGGCTCAGACTCAAAAGGGAAAGAATCGGACCTCTGCAAAGAGACCACTGCTTCCACACTGAGAGCATGGGTCTCACTCTGCAGCTGCTGGCAGGAGACAGACTTTTCTACTCTGTAGAACTGTAAGATATTGAACATCGTCTGTTTTAATACACATTTAGTTATTTTAAAGTGAAGGTTCAATTTAATCTTGGCATAGAACAAGCAGCAGAACATGGTGTACTATCTGACATGACACTTCAGACATGCAGGTTTTTTTTTTTTTTTCTTTCATGTTGACATGGAACATTTGAAAACCGCATTATAGTATCCAGCTTGTCCATAAAATTCACTCATCAAGGGGCTGTTTTATCCTTTTTGCCCATTGCTGAACTCTAACAATATGACAAAACTGCATCCTATGTCTTATAAATAAGTGATGACACACATCAGACATTTTAAGTAAGTATTATTGCCATGTCTTTCCCTTATAAGTGGGGCACAGTACTGTCATTCATAGTCATACAAACAGTGATTTATCATCAGCTGAACTATCTATTCAGTGGAGTACAAAATCCAATTACTCTGAGCTGCTGAGTGCATTGATATTTTTTCATATTCACAGAGAGGTTAGTCCATTGCTGCATGCTCTATTGTTTTCTGCCTTTCCTGTAAACCACAACACATTAATATTTATGTTCCTGCCTAGCCACAGAGATGTCTGATGAGGAAATTAAAGAGAAGACGTTACATGCAGCTGCAGGCTACTTGGAAGGAAAGACGTCTGTGGAAAAGACAGCTCTTCTGCATCAGCACATTGGGAGAAGGGAAATGACTGACGTGATAATAGAAACCATAGGTCCAAATACAGGTGAATGTAGAGAGATACATATTCATGTAATTTCCATAGAGACCTTTTGTAGGTGAGAATGTGTTTAGTAATCTGTTGTCTTGCAAACATGATAGCTTCCACAGCAGGCCTCTACTTCTAGAAAAAAAAATCTCTACTTGCCTGGCAAGTAATGCAGGCCAAAGACAGGTCGTTTATCAGCCGAATTTTCGTCCGCACGAAAAATCGTCTGATAATCACGCCGTTAGTGGGGCCAGCCCGTTTTTCACAGATCTCATTTATTTTTATCGGTCGTGCTGGAAAATCCGCAAAAAAACGCTTTTTTTCGTGGACATGGATGGCAGCATCGGCAACGGGGCCGACCAATTTTTTGTTTATTGGCCCGTCTATGGCCTGCCTAAGCCAAAAAAAAAAAATCTCTGCGTGCTGATACAATGGTTTCAATACTCATTAGTCATTGACCTGTAACAAGTATGCAAAAATTGACCTCCGAAGATCCTGATCTGTATTCTCTCAGAGAATTCGACACCAAGTATTGCAGCCACTGGATTGGCCTATCAGCCAGGCAGCTAGCATTTTTAGAAGGTCAACAAATTTATATAAATATGTCAAATAAAGCTGGATTAAACAAACTGTCTCACCAGTTGTTAGTTACTTGTTCATCCAGCCACCATGTACTGAAGCAGCTTACGTAGTGTATGTCTGGGCGCAAAATTATATTTGCTAGATTTCTGCAGTACACTACAATACAATATTTCAGTGAGTTGCTAACTTCCTGTTTGTGCTGACAGCCCTGCTTCTGGTGCACTGCAGTCCCAAGCATTGTTGTCAGTCCTCTGGACTACAGATTACCACCCCTTTATGTTATGAAGATGAGAGGAGGTGAGGTCTTTTGCAGTCCAGAAGGGACTATTCCGGCAGGGCTGAGAACACTGCTTGGGATTTTACTGCAGCAGAGTTTTTGCCTGGGTTCCCATATATGCGATAACATGTGATTCGCACAGGAACTACACCGCATTCCTGTGCAAATTACATGCGATTTGTGTGCGGTGCAATTGGAGCCATACATTTTGTATGGCTCTAAATGAACCACATCAAAAAGGTGCAGGACCCTTTTTTTTGGGTCTGCACTAGAATCGGATCGCATGGGTATTCACACCTATGCGTTCCGATTCTGCACATTGCATCGCTTTCGGGGCATTGTTAACTTAACATACAAACCCACAGCGGTTCACATGAACGGGGTGCGATTGTGATGTGGTGAGGAATTTGCACGAAAAAAAAAACGCTACGAATTCCGCACTGCATCAGTGTGAACCAGGGCATTATGCTGAACATGAAATCAGCTTTTACTGGATTCCTGACAGGAGCAGCAGGTATTCTTCTATACTTTCAGCACTTTAAAAGATAAACCGTGGAAGTGTGAATGTATTGCAGAGGTTCACTTTTTTGTTTCAATTTTTGCCCAGACATACACGTGCTTACAGAAGACATGGGCCAATGCCAGCAAACGGGTTTCTTTCTATGCTTTAGGCTCATAGGATAGTTTTTCAATTGCCAATTAAATGTTGCCTGGTTTGTCATGCAAGAAAAAAAAGCTGAAATTATCGCTAAAGGTTTTGACTTTGTCAACACCACTTCCTTTTATCAGCAGATGTCAAATTTAAACTGGCAACATTCAGACTTTTACTACAGTTTCAGTTGACTGAATGGAACAATTTAATTGGTGACTGGGGAAATCTAGTCTTTGTTTATGATTTGGATATGATACATGATCCTAAGTGTATTCAGGAAAAAAAAAGGAGCTAAATGCTATTTAGACAATGGACTGGCTGGCTTTTTAGTTTTCTACAAATGCCTGTATGCCAGTTGTCTTGTTATATTTGCACAATTGACTGAAAACCTTCAACTCGATTCCAGCCCTGACACTAACTATGCTTAAAAATGTTCCTTCCCCCTTCTGCCACCTATCTTGCCTACCCTATGTAAAAAAGAAGTGTATACTTACCTATTTTTACTTCACTGTGGCCAATCACGTGATTGTCTTTGTCAGTGATCTCCTGCAGCCCTTCCTTTCAGATATTCTTGCTTGAATGAGTGGTGACAATGATTTGAATACACTATGATTTGACCTTCTGGGGTTTATTTACTAAAGCTGGAGAGTCCAAAATCAGACTCCCTTCTGCATAGAAACCAATCAGCTTCCAGGTTTCATTGCCAAAGCTTCATTGAACAAGCTGAGGTTAGAAGCTGATTGGTTTCTATGCAGAAGGGAGTCTGATTTTGGACTCTCCAGCTTTAGTAAATAAACCCCTCTGTGTCCTCCTGAGGAAGTAGACTCATGGGCTGTGAAATGCATTGTGAATTTACTATCTTTCAATCTTCTATTTATAAGCTGACATTGTTTTTATGATGTAAATTATGTGTTTATTGCTCATGGTGACTGTATTTCTTGCATATATGTTCGATCAGATGTGGAGGTAAAATGAGCAGTTTTATAAATTTTTGGTATTAATATGATTATAACGAAAAATTTTTTGTCAGACATAGGGGTAGATTTACTAAAACTGGTGCACTCAGAATCTGGTGGAGCTGTGCATAGTAGCCAATCTGCTTCTAACTTCAGCTTGTAAAATTAAGCTTTGACAATGAAACCTGGAAGCTGATTGGTTTCCATGCAGAAGTGCACAAGATGTTGCGCACTCCAGCTTTAGTAAATAAACCCCATAGTTGGAGAAGATGGTGTTGGTACTTAGTGTTACTAAACCCAGGACCCTGCGTTCACTATATCTGGTCTCCCACAGTACACAGAACATGCAATTATTTTAGTAAATATAAACTGCTAAATACCTTTTCTCATCAGCTGTATACAGTGGATATAAAAAGTCCACACACCCCTGTTAAAATGTCAGGTTTCTGTGATGTAAAAAAATGAGACAAAGATAATTTCAGAACTTTTTCCACCTTTAATGTAACCTATAAACTGTACAACTCCGTTGAACAACAAACTGAAATCTTTTAGGTGGAGGGAAGTAAAAAACTAAAATAATATGGTTGCATAAGTGTGCACACCCTTAAACTAATACTTTGATGAAGCCCCTTTTGATTTGATTCCAGCACTCAGTCTTTTTGGGTATGAGTCTATCAGCATGGCACATCTTGACTTGGCAATATTTGTCCACTCTTCCTTGCAAAAACACTCCAAATCTGTCAGATTGTGAGGGCATCTCCTGTGCACAGCCCTCTTCAGATCACCCCACAGATTTTCGGTCAGATTCAGGTCTGGGCTCTGGCTGGGCCATTCCAAAACTTTCATATTCTTCTGGTGAAGCAATTCCTTTGTTGATTTGGATGTATGCTTTGGGTCGTTGTCATGCTGAAAGATGAAGTTCCTCTTCATGTTCAGCTTTGTAGCCGAAGCCTGAAGGTTTTGTGCCAATATTGAATGGTATTTGGAACTGTTTATAATTCCTTCTACCTTGACTAAGCAGCCCCAAAGCATGATGCTGCCACCACCATGCTTCACTGTGGGTATGGTGTTCCTTTGGTGATGTGCTGTGTTGTTTTTGTGCCAAACATATCTTTTGGAATTATGGCCAAAAAGTTAAACCTTGGTTTCATCAGACCATAACACATTTTCCCACATGCTTTTGGGAGACTTCAGATGAGTTTTTGCAAAATTTAGCCGGGCTTGGATGTTTTTCTTTGTAGGAAAAGGCTTCCGTCTTGCCACTCTACCCCATAGCCCAGACATATGAAGAATACGGGAGATTGTTGTTACATGTACTACACAGCCAGTACTTGCCAGATATTCCTCCAGCTCCATTAATGTTGCTGTAGGCCTCTTGGCAGCCTCCCGGATCAGGTTTCTTCGCATCTTTTCATCAACTTTGGAGGGACGTCCAGTTCTTGGTAATGTCTTCACTTTGTTTCGTGGGTATATCTAATGCCTTGGAAATTTTTTTGTACCCCTCCTGACTGATACCTTTTAACAGTGAAATCCCTCTGATGCTTTGGAAGCTTTCTGCGGACCATGGCTTTTGCTGTAGGATGCGACTAAGAAAATGTCTGAAAAGACCTACTAGAACAGCTGAAACTTTATTTGGGGTTAATCAGAGGCACTTTAAATGATGGCAGGTGTGTACTGATTCCTATTTAACATGAATTTGAATGTGATTGCTTAATTCTGAGCACAGCTACATCCCCAGTTATAAGAGGGTGTTCACACTTATGCAACCACATTGGTTTAATTTCAGTTTGGTTTTCAATTGAATTGTACAGTTTATAGGTTACATTAAAGGTGGATAAGTTTCTGAAATGATTTATCTTTGTCATTTTTTAAAATCACAGAAACCTGACACTTTAGCAGGGGTGTGTAGACTTTTTATATTCCCTGTATATTCCTGTGACTTCTTTCAGTGTCCAGCTGAGCATTGGTTAAAGCTTGTCTGAGGAGTTTTCATTCATCTCTGACCTATGAGGCTGCATGACCCCTGACCCTTTGTCTGGACAGGGTAGATTGGCCCTGCGCTGATCACATGCACCCTCCCACGGAAGAAAAAAAACTGTTTAGCAATATACACCAAATTGAGCATGTGCTGAGTGACTCCTAGAGCTCTGTACGATCAGCAGATGGATTGGGGACAGTAGAAGAAAGGGAGGATCAGAGACGAGAGGATCAAACATCCTTTTTACACAATGCAGAGGATTAACCCCTTAGGTTCCACAGTGAGTATAACAAGCATGCTTTACTTCATATACATGCTGATTTTACTGTTGTGGGTTTAGTAACACTTTAAAAATGCCATACTTTTCTTTTTTTCTTTATTATAGTAGGGGTGTGTACACTGCTAATTAAGGAAAACCTTTTAAACTTCATATTCTTCTATTTTATTTTGTTTTTATATCATTTATAAAATGTTCTTTCTTTTCTACCTATGTTAGATGCACCAAAGGACTCAGATCCAGAGAATTCGGAAGATTCATCTGTAACCACTAACCAAACGGCTCCTGATTCTCCTTCAAAACAGCTGCCTGAGCAGATCACTTTCTTCAGTGGGAACCCCTCTGTGGAAATAGTCCATGGCATTATGCATCTCTACAAAACAAAGTAGGCAAAAGAATAGTACTTTTGTCTTGAATAAAATGAAGTTATGTTTTTAAAGATTTTTTTTTTTTTTTTTTAAGAAGTCAAAATTTCTATCAGATTTTGCCCAATACCCCAATTGGGGATACTTTCTGCACTTTTTGTCCCTCCCTCTCACACTGGTAGAAGAAACGGGGTACCGGTAGTCACTGGGACTGAGGGCCTGGTGATCACTAAATACTTTGTATGAAGGTGTAACCAATCCATACACTACTAAATGCGTGCTTTTTGTTGGTCTGTGTCCTCTTTCTTTCTTTCCTTCCTAGTGTTGGGCTTTAAGAACAAGTAAACTGTTCTGCTCCTGGAACTCTGTGCTCTCAAATTGCTGTTAATATTTTGTGTACCTGTGTATTTTGAAAAGTAAATGCTTAAAGCCGAACTGCAAGCACATATTTTCAATAGCCACAAAAGGTATTGTACAGAGGCTACATTCTCATGCTGGATTAATGTACGGATATGGAAATACTAAACAAATATTTAAATATGTTTAATTGGTGTTACTGTGACAGGAGTTGAGAATTCCTCAATGTGGAGACAAAAGCCAAAAAAGTTCTGTTTTCTACTCTGATAACAATGGTGCGTTTTTTCTTCTATTATGCCTTTGTTGGAGTTATTTTCTTGTCCCAAAAAGAAATCTCTTTAACGGGAAATAAAACAGTTGCAAAACTTTCTATCCCTTCCCTATTCTATCCAAATTTTTTTTAAAAAAAGTTTGGCCCGGAGTGGGGCCTTAACCCACCTTTTTAGTATTCTGTATATTAATTTTCATCAGCACAGTTCCTCTTGCTGAGCACACCTTTTAAAGCTGATCCATATGTTTTTGTAAAATTTAAATTGTTTGGATCAAGCTGGTTGAAACAAACTGTTTGCTTCACTAACACATGCAGTGGCTGTGAGCGCTATATGAACTGTATATGGCTGAGGCCTACATACAGTATATAGTATCACCCTTTTCCAGCATCAGGAACACTGCTCAGCCATATACAGTGTGCTTTGTATTCCTCAAACAAATGCAAAGCTTCCTCTGATTGGCTGAGTCGAGGATCGTGCCTTCATCCATCCACCTCAGCCAATTAGAGGAAGATTTGTACACCGCGCTGTATACACTATGTAGCTGAGGCTACATACAATTCGTACAGGACTGTCAGCCATGCGTTTTGTTGGTGAAGTTAATAGTCCATTTGGTCTTGCTTGGGCTATGCAAACTATTTAAACATCACTAAAACCTGAAGATCAGCTTTAATAAACTACCTACTATTGACAGGTATCAGCTGACATTTGCAGTCTGCCATCTGTCAAAGCCTGTGTCTCTAAATGCAATAAACCTACCTGCTCAATTTTTTGTCCTTAGACAGAGTAGTGCTTTAAAATGGTTAAAGCAGTTTCTGTCGTGCAGAAGCAAATCAGGAAATTACATAAATACCGACCTTTCCCCTGGAATCCACCTGTTTGCAGACTCCTTCCGCTTTGATAACAGCTCATACACCTAATTCATCAGTTATGTTGTAGTGGAGCTACAGTGCTGTTCTACAATTGAACTATTTTCTGTAGGTGGATTTTGTATTGTTTTATAGCAGAGCTTTCATAACAGCCAGAGTCATTTTTTTAAAGCTTTTGCTTAAAATGAACTTGCTTTCTGTACTGTATGTTTGTACTTACGTAAGTAAAGCAAGAAAATATATTTAATAACAAATACAAACTTACTGCTCTTTATGTTGTTACTGGTGCTGGAGCACTGTGTTTTAAGCTGTACTTCTTTTCAATACCCAGCTTTCATTATTTGCCTGAGAAGTTGGCACTGTGTCCTGAAAGGCCTAAGTAATCTGCTGACATCACATTACACAAGAAGAAAGCAAGTTGGTTAGCTGCCAGAGATTGACAGGCGTGTTTAATCTTACAGTGAAATTCTTCTAGCTGATCCGTCCGTTAACCAGAGCACTGATGATCCCTTTACTTTAAAGTTAAGGGATTAGTTCACCTTTTTAGTAAAAAATAATAAATGCACATTTTGTAGCAGGTAAAAAAATGTGCATTTATTATTTTTGTCTGCAGCAGCCTGTATAAAGTATTGCACCAGCGATCAACAGATTGATGGTGCCATGCAGGTTTCCAGCAGATCTGTCAGAATATCTGCTTGCCCGTATGGGATGTATGAGCAAGCAGATATACTGACAGGGAAGAATCCATGAACTACCATGGCACTCCATAGCACCGTGGTAGTCCATTGAGGACTACAAGCTGACAGCCACAGCATGCTGTAAACGAGTGATGCGGCCGGGTGGGTGGAGCCCTGCGTGGCCACTTTTTTTTTTTTTTTTTTTTATTTGACAGCTGGCAGGGGATCTTCCGCCCCACCTAAGACCCTTAAACCCCCCCCCCCCCCTTAGCTGTCAATTTGTTTTAAAAAAAAAAAAAAAAAGTGGCTGCGTGGGGCTCCACCAAAGCGGGGAGCGGGGGCTGGTCAGATCGTAACATGTTACACCCTGAATATAGGTGAAAGGTGAACTTATCCTTTTGAACATATGGGAAGGTTGTTTGAAGCTCACTCTTTAGCCACAGTCTAGTGGCTGAGATGCTGCTATTTACTTTGTGGAACTGCTGAATTCCTATCTCTGCATTCTGACTTGCAAAGCATCCAGGTCTGCAAAATTGTAGGCCAAGTGCAGTCAAGGTCCAATCCCTGCCCTCTGTAGGTATTGGAGAGGGAAGTTGCAGTGCTCTTTTGTCAAGAGATAGCAGTTCTGCCTAGAAGGCCTCCTGAATCGGGCTGAAGTTTATCATACTCTCATAAAGGTAAATTCGTTATTCGGATTATAAAGATTTTCTTGTAGTTCACTGATATGTTGACTTTTTTTTTTTTTTTCCTGGATTTGCTTTTGTAATGAATTAGAATTTACAGCAATGTGTGAGTGTTCTTAAATAAGCTCAACATATACAGTACAGTACAATTTGACTGTACAATCTTTGTGTGGTCTTTTATATTTGCCAAAACTATGTAATATACTTTTTGTATCTATCTAATCAGGCAGGCCCGTGTACTGCATAGTTGTTTGTAGCATGTGTGATTACCTAAAAATATGTTTCCTTTAGAGAAAATGTGAATATACTTTCATGTTGGATAATAACTTGTACAAAGATCCAGCAGATGATATTTTAAATGTGAGAAGTTACACATGCCTTTTCTCTCTAGTAAGATGACCTCACTGAAAGAGGATGTCAGACGCAGCGCAATGCTTTGTATTCTTACCGTTCCTGCAGCAATGACAAGCCACGATCTGATGAAATTTGTAGCTCCATTTAATGAAGTTATTGAACATATGAAAATAATTCGGGACTCCACACCCAATCAGTACATGGTTCTCATAAAATTCGGATCCCAGGTAACTATTTTGCTTTTTTTCTTGCCTCTCCTTTGACCTGTGCTGAAGTTTTTCTGCATTTAAAGCTTAACTTCAGGAAACCTAAAAATTATCCCCTGCAGCCCACAATGTGAGGGTTAAGTGCTCATTCTGTGTTGCTGATTTTGTAATGAAGATTTACTTCCTAGATCCTCTACTCCTGCAGGCTCCTCCTGCTGCTAGCCTGCTCCCCAAAGCCTCTTCTCCTCCAAGCTTCAGCAGTCTACGTTCCTCTGCCATCATCCAAACTGCTATAGGGACCTTAGCCATGCACTAAACAGGATAGAGGACGCCAAAAGACAGTCCACTGCAAGAGCATTGGGGGAGTGCTGCCTGCCCTGGGAGCTGGGAATAAGGTACAGTAAGTAAAAGTTCTTCTTTCTGCCCCTAGACAGAAATGAGCAGTTAAACATAAAAGTGTGTGTGGGCACTGCCCCACTACAAGGGAGAATATTTGGACTTCTGAAGTTGGACTTTAAAGGCAGCAAAAAATACAGTTTGAGTTTTGGGTTGCTTCCTGTCTGGTTGCATTTCCCTTTTTCTTCTCCTTGCTTCTTTTGCCAACAACCGGGGTCTGAAGTGTTTAGAATTTATCAGCATTACCAAGCCTTTATTCTGGGTAATGTATTTTTTTTCCTTTCATTCACTCCAGGTCTTTTTTTTTCTTTCACAACTTTTATCCTTGCATATTTTCTTCAGCTTCCCAAGCTACTGTGGAGCCATTTCAAGAACTGCTGTAAAAATTAGACATCTATTCCTCCCCACCCCTTTAAAGTCTTAACGGATAACAAAAGGCTTAACTACTTGCCCTCCAGAGGATTTACCCCCCCCTTCCTGACCAGACCATTTTTTTTGCAATACGGCACTGCGCTACTTTAACTGACAATTGCGCGGTCTTGCAACATGGCGCCCAAATTAAATTTATGTCCTTTTTTTCCCCACAAATTGAGCTTTCTTCCAGTTGTGTTTGATCGCCTCTGCGGTTTTTATTTTTTGAGCTATAAACAAAAAAGATTGACAATTTTGGAAAAAAGAAATTTGCTATAAAACATATCCAGTAAAATTATGTAAAATGCAAATTTCATCATAAATTTAGGCCAAAATTGTATTCTGCTACATGTCTTTGCTAAAAACAAATCCCAATACGTGTAAATTAATTGGTTTACGTGAAAATTTTATAGTGTCTACAAATGTCTGTATATATACTGGAATTTTTTTTTTTTATACTAGTAATGGTGGCGATCAGCGACTGCGGCAGGCATTCTGACACTGGGTGGGAAATAACTATCACTGACATCCCCAGTGACATGAATACAGTGATCAGTACTAATAAAAAGCACTGACGCTGTACTAATGACACTGGGCGGGAAGGGGTTAACATCTGGGGCGATCAGAGGGTTAACTGTGTGCTGTGTGTTTCACATAGTGTGCTGTTTCACTGTGTAAGCATGCTGCTTTGTATTGCTCTGCTATCCGGAGGAATACAAAGCAGCATGCTGGTGCTAACAGTGGAGAGATCTGTATTGTTTACATACAGACCTCTCCCTTGTCAGTGTTCCTCGGCAATCAGTGTTCCTCGGCAAACACTTGTCAATGTTCCTCGGCGATCGGGGAATCTCCAGCTGGGACCCGGTGGTCGACAGCTGTAGCTGCCAATGGTTGCGCAGGTAGGGCGGCGCACGCATGCCCCATACCTGGAAACACAAAATCATGTGTATATATACGTGATTTTGCGCAGCCCTGCCGCCCTGTAGCAGTAGTTATGCTATAGCACGGTTGGGAAGCGGTTAAAATACTTACCTTGGCTATAACGCCGCCGTTTTAAAAGTGGGGAAGAATTAATCCACTTTCAGATTTTTATTGCAGTGTTTGTCCTTGTTGCGGAGATTCACCTTTTACTATTCTTTTATTTTAAAATTAGAGGGGGTGGAATGGCTGGCTCAGGCTCTCAGCGGAGAGGCTGATCCCAGTGCCAGACAATTCTCCCGGGTGGATCCTGACCATATGGTCACGCTCTTTCCCTAGCCTGGACAGGCTCTGTGACATCAGCTGACAGGGTGCTTTAGCCCACTGTTGGCTGAAAACGGGTCACAAGAGTTCAGAACAATTTGCACTTCTGTGTTCCACAGGAGAAGTACAGCCAAATGAGCTTTGCATTTTGTCCTTTTTGCATGCACATTTCTGCTGCATTTTTTGATGCATTTTTTTAATAAAAATTTTGGCCAACTTGTTTGTGGGCAGAATAAAACTGCAGTGGACAAAATACTAAAGGCTAAACGAGCGCTAGGTGAAAAGGTAAGCTGCTAGCATAAAGGTAAAACCTCAAATCCTTCCAATAAATCAATAATTGCAAACGTAGCGCTACACAAGTGATAAATAATATATATAGTCATATATGCATACTGTAATAAACGTATAAACATGCGCTGTGGAGCGCTATATTAGATGGTGATAATAACGTCTAGATATGACGTATAAGGTGCAGTTGTGACACAAAGATAAATAGATATATAAATTTAAAGTCCAAATTCAGTATAAGGTGAACTCCGTGACTCCAGTGGCTGGAAAACTAATGTATATTGCACTAACCAGAAAGCGCAATAAATTGCGCATTTGAGTATATGAAACCACTCCTGGTCATCTGGATCCGCACGTCAGGTGATTAGCAGACTATTACTCTCCAGCTCCAGGAAAAATCTCCAGGAAAAAAAACTGGTGAGGCTGAAGAGTGTGTGCCCGGAGAGGAGGAGGTGGATTCCTGTTATTTCCATTTTACGCCTATGACTGGTCCTTAACATCGGATGGGATTTTTCCTGGAGCTAGAGAGTAAGTCTGCTGATCACCTGATGTGCTGACATGTGCCAGATGATACTCTGAGTTGCCCTTTCGGATCCAGATGACCAGGAGTGGTATGATATACTCAAATGCGCAATTTATTGTGCTTTCTGGTTAGTGCAATATACATTCGTTTATACGTTTATTACAGTATGCATATATAACAATATATTTATTGCTTTATCACTTGTGTAGCGCTGCATTTGCTATTAAAGATTAAAACTGCAAACTGCATCAACACATGCGTTTTTTGCTGCGTTTTCAATGCATTTCAGGCCTGGTGCACACCAATGCAGTTTGGATTAAAAAAAAAAAAAAAAAATCTTCATCACCCCCCACAAGTAGTACAGTGTCACACTGTACTGCTAGGGTGACCGTATGTAAAAAAAATAATAATAAATAATATTAAAAAAAGTTTAAAAATTATAATTTTGGGTTATAAACTAATTTGGGTTATTTTTTTTTTTGCTAAAAATATAATGGAATACATTTTGGCCAAAATTTATGATGAAATACTATTTATTTGAAAAATTTTATAAGAAAAACACTTTTTTCAAAATTTCTGGACATTTTAATTTCCATAGCAAAAAAAAATATAAATCCCAGTGGTGAAATAAATACCACCAAAATAAAGCTTTATCTGTCTCAAAAAAATGCTAAAAAATTCATATGGGTATAGTGTTGCATGGCCGCGCAATTGTCATTCAAAGTGGGATAGAACTGAAAGCTGAAAATTGGCCTGGACAGGAAGGGGGTAAAAGTGTCCGGACTGGAAGTGGTTAAACTGTCTTTCGGTTTTCGGCCAAATGCATCCTGAATTTTCGGTTTTAGACCAAGAATTTTCATTTCGGTGCACCACTATTGATTCTCTTATAATGTACAATCTTTATTGATTGTATATCATAGGAAAACTATTACTGCTTAGTTATGTCTCAGAATGTAGCCCATGAAATATGAAGGGCCATTTATATTTCTAGTTTGGTAGTACACCAGTTGGCAGGCCAGCTCTTGGATAATATGGGCACGTTACAATATTTAATTTAAATTTTAGTTAGATATTAGGCCCTGTTCAAACTTCCCACTTGTTGCTTTGTTTGGGCGATTTTCACATAATTCCACATGTTGTGCATAGGACTTTCACTTCAATGGGCTGCCGTAGACACATTTGTCACCCAAAAGAATCAGAAGCTCCTTTTTGGACAATAAGCTTCATACGATTTGTAAAGCCGCGTTTTGCACGATTGTCGCATGACAATCGCAGCAAAAATCCTATTTCTTTTGAGGTGCCATTTAGAATGAACACCCAATATGGACCCAAACGTGCATATTCTACCCATGATTCCAAATTGCAAAGTGTGCATGGGGCCTTAAAGTGGAAGTAAAGGCTTTCCTTTAACCACTTGCCCTCCTGAGAATTACCCTTCTTAATGACCAGGCCTCTTTTTGCTACTCAGCGCTGCACTAATTCAACTGATAATTGCACGGTCATACAATGCTGCACCCAAACGAAATTTACGTCCTTTTTTCACACAAATAGAGCTTTTTTTCGGTGGTATTTGATCACCTGTGTGCTTTTTATTTTTCACGCTATAAACAAGACCAAAAATTTTAAAGAAAAACAATATTTTTTACTTTCAGCTATAAAAAATATATAGTAAACTCAAAGTTAGTTATAAATTTAGGCCAAAATGTATTCTGCTACATGTTTTTGGTAAAAAAAAAAAAATCCCAATAAGTGTATATTGATTGCTTTGTGTGAACGTTATAGCGTCTACAAACTATGGTATAGATCAGGGGTGGGCAAACTTTTTGACTTGAGGGCCGCAATGGGTTCATATATTGGACCCGGGGGCCGGACCAAGAGTAGATGAATGATGTGTATGTGTCATCCATAGTAAGTATAGTAATATTCCCCCATAGTAAGCATAGTAATTAATCCCCCCCATCCCCCATAGTAATTAATCCCCCATATAGTTCATCCCCCATATAGTAATTCATCATATAGTAATTCATCCCACATATAGTAATTCATCCCCCATATAGTAATTCATCCCCCCTATAGTAATTCATCCCCCATATTAAGTCCCCAAGTCCCCCATATAGTAATTCATCCCCCCTATAGTAATTCATTCCCCATATTAAGTCCC